GTATCTTTTGGCAAATACAGTAAGACGAATAGAAAGGATACTGTAGAATTACAGTAACTTATAAAGTACAGTGAATACCGTAATCTCAGTTGGCGGATACAGTTAGCGCATAAATTACAGTATTACAGTACAATACAGTACGATACAGTACCAAAATTGGATTTAGTCTTATCACAGTTGCGTCGTTATCACAGTTGCGTTATCACTGTTATCAGTGCTTATCAGTGCTCTTTGGTGAGTATACTGTATCCAACAATACAGTAACTTACAGTAATTTCGGAATGCAGTAACTTACAGTAATCCCAGAATACAGTAATTTACAGTAACTTCAGAATATGCCGCCGCCTTCTTCTTCTTCTTTTTGTTCAATAAGAATAATATTCTTTGCAGATGAGTTTCAAAGCTCCAGGTGGTTGCTTGAATCACGCTACTTTTCAAGCTGAAATATATGCAAATTTAAGGTTTAGTTGAGTTGGAGGATTACGGTAAGATTACGGTATTGGCGAGTTACGGTAGCTTTAGGTTACGGTAGCTTTAGATTACGATATGGTTTCAGCAGCTGTTCCTTGGTTAATTGTGTGGAACATTAATTATCGAGTTGTATTATCGAGAATCGAACTGAAGCTAAAGGTGTGAATTTGAGGCAAGTATGAGTTAAATTAATCCGACTCCGGGTAAAATTCAGGTAAATTTGGCAGTGCTAAACCGATTTCGGGTAAAGTTCGGGTAAAGCCGGGTAATAATGAACCGACTTTAGGTAATATTGAGGTAAACTTGGATAAAATGGGACAGATAATTAGGAACTAAACTTCTGCAACAAACCAAACAACCTATTAGCTCCAATCTCAACTCTCAAGTCTACCAAACTAAAATCCCTAAAACCTTAACCCCAATGAACTTCAATGAACCCGTATCCGCGTAACCTGAAACCAAAAAATTCATTGTTGAGCTAGTAACCCCCTCTCCCCTATTCAATCCGCGTAACCTGAAATCGATTAGGACGTGTATCGCAAGCGAGGAACAAAAATTGTTGTGAACGACGTACAAATTCACTAAATAAAATAAGCCTAAGCAAATTGTGGTGGTGTGCCACCACCACCACCGCCCTCTGATAAAAATTAGCCCCCCGCCTCTCCCCTATTCAATCCGCGTAACCTGAAATCGAGAAATTCATTTCAGGTTAAGACGTAAAGCGAGGAACAAAAATTGTTGTGAACGATGTACAAATTCACTGAATAAAATAAGCAAGCACCACCGCCGCTCTGATAAGAATTAGCCCTCCCTCGCTCCCCTATTCAATCCGCGTAACCTGAAATCCAAAATTTCATTTCAGGTTAAGATGTATAGCAAGCACAGAACAAAAATTGAACGTCCAAATTCAATGAATAAAATAAGCCTAAGCAAATTGTGATGCGCCACCACCACCGCTCTAATAAGAATTAGCCCCCCGCCTCTTCCCTGCTCAATCCGCGTAACCTGAAATCGGAAACTCATTTCAGGTTAAGACGTAAAACGAGGAACAAATTGTTGTGAACGATGTACAAATTCACTAAATAAAATAAGCAAGCACCACAGCTCTCTGATAAGAATTATAAGACGGGCAGGTAGGGCAGTTGGCTGGATTGATAGCTGCAATGAGCGTGTATCAACTGAATAAATTTATTAGCCACAACACCACTAACCACACACACAATAACAACGCACGTACACATTTTAACACAGCCCACCATTCTTATCAGTTGCTTATCACTCGCTTTATCACCCTTATCAGTCAATTATCAGTCACCTTATCACTTTATCACTCTTTATCAGTTGCTCTCTTCGATCACCTATCTCTCTCCATTTCTCTCAATGTCTCTGCTCTCCATTGATTTTCATTGATTCCCGACGATTTTCACAAACTTTTTATCTTTTCCACAAAAATTTCCATAAAATTTCCGGAATTTTTCGTACTTCTTCCGTTCGCACTCTCGTCTCTGGCGTCTCTCGATTACACACAGCAAAAAACCACTCTCTCATTGTGTTTTATTCTCTGATTCTCTTCATTTCAGTGTGTACTTTTGCGCTTCCTGACAGCCGGCTGGCTGTAACGAGTTGTTGATTGATTTCTGGTGATAGGGGGTGGTAGGTAATAGGGACTGGATGCTGTGACGTCACGGCTCCATGAGTATGATCAGGCGATCGTGGAATTATTTGATAGGTGATGAGTGATTTACTATGGGCACATGCCATTGCAATTGGATTGATAAGGGATTATTCAGTGGAATTGGGGTGATTGGGGTGGATATATTAACGAATTTGAGCTTGAACTTAGGCTTAAGGTAGCATTTAAAGATGCGAGTAACGGTAAAATTAACGATGCAGGTAACGATATAATTAACGGTAAAATTAACGGTACAGGTAACGATATAATTAACGGTAAAATTAACGATGCAGGTAACGATACAATTAACGATACAGTTAATGATCTAGGTAACGATACAATTAACGATACAATTAACGATGCAGGTAACGATCTAGGTAACGATACAATTAACGATACAGGTAACGATCTAGGTAACGATACAATTAAGGATACAGTCAATGATCTAGGTAACGATACAATTAAGGATGCGAGTAACGGTAAAATTAACGATACAATTAAGGATACAGTTAGCGATCGAGGTAACGATACAATTAACGATACAGGTAACGATCTAGGTAACGTTACAATTAACGATACAGTTAATGATCTAGGTAACGATACAATTAACAATGCAATTAACAGTAAGTTAATGATACAGGTAACTATGAAATTAACGAGTTCCAAGCGATATTTCGACTATACAGTGTGGTGATAGCACATCATTCAGTTAAATTAACATTGCTGTAAACTTGAGATCATGTTTTAATTAGCGATATAATTAACGGTAAAATTAACGGTAAATTAAAGGTAAATTAGCGGTAATTAACGATATAATTAACGATACAATTAACGATTTGGATTCACGACCTCATCAACACAACACAAAAAACCACAAGGTGTTGCTGTTGTTGTTGTGTCGTCATCAGATCTTAGATTTATGCTCTTTGATATTTTGCTAGCTTATCATCGATTTTTTTCTGCTGATCTGAATTGATTGATTGGAAATTTTTTTGCTGCTGTTGATCAATCACTCGATCGATTTGTTGCTGATCAACTCGTGAGTGTGGCTGATCAATGTGCTCTTGCAGTGTGCTGTACTGTTTGAGAGGTTCAATTGAGTTTTGACTTACCGAGTTTAATGGGTGAAGCGTAGTGTGCAGTGGGATTGCAGTGGAATGCAATCGAGTTTAGACTTGAGGTTGGGATTAAGATTAAGATTGAGGTTAATTAAGATTAAGTTAAGGTAAATTAACGATTTAATTAAGATTAAGTTAAGGTTAATTAACGATATAATTAACGATTCAGTTAAAATTAACGATGAAATCAACGATAGAATTAACCATTCACATTTTCAGCCGCTCTGATGAGATGACTACAGCAAAGGAATCAAGCTTATTCAGGAAAATTTTTACGGAAAACTGAAAAAAATGGAAAATTCTTTCGGAAACCCAAAAATTGGGGTCTTTTTTCAAAAAATATTCCAATTCCGAAGTGATTTTGAGAGCATTACCCTATAAAGAGAAAGAGTTGCTGTAGAGATGCAGTGATAAAAGGCCGTGAGGAGCTGGTGAGGCAGCCGGTGGCAATTTGGGCTCCGGAGCGGAGCCTTAGTGCTGAAACGGTTGCCGGAGTGGAGCCGGGCTGACTCTAGTTCTTGATCTAGCCTGTTGAGCTGGAGATCTCGAGCTGACTTCATTTAAAAACCCACCTTAAAGCTATCGCAATCATGTGAAAATCATTGTGGGAAGAGATCAAAGATTATGAATGATTTAAAAAATAAATAAATAAATTTTTTTTCAAAATTCAAAAAAACATTCATCCAAAGTACACTAACTAATT